GTACCCGGCCACCTTGTGCACCACGGCCAGCGGCTCCTCCACCGCGTAGCTGTACACGAACCCCGAGTACTCGCCCTGCGGGGAGAGCCTGTCACCCTGGAACCGGGGTACAATGGCACCCTGGCACTGTGTCACCCTGTCACCCCATCACCCTGGCACCCTGTCTTTCCCCCCTGCAGGAATGACCCCGTAACCCTGTCACAGTGTCACCCTGTAACTGTGTCACCCCATCACCCTGTCACTGTGTCACCCTGGCACTGTGTCACCCTGGCACCCTGTCATCCCCCTGCGGGGGAGATCCTGTCACCCTGGAACTGGGACACCCTGACACCCTGGAACCGTGTCACCCCCCTGTGGGAATGACCCTGGCACCCTGGCACTGTGTCACCCCATCACCATGTCACCCTGGCACTGTGTCACCCCCCTGTAGGAATGACCCTGGCACCCTGGAACCGGGGCACCCTGGCACCTTGGCACTGTGTCACCCCATCACCCTGTCACCATGTCACCCTGGCACCCCGTCACCTTGTCACCCCATCACTCTCTCATTGTGTCACCCTGGCACCCTGTCATCCCCCTGCGGGAATGACCCTGACACCCTGGCACCCCGTTATCGTGTCACCCTCTCCCCCTGGCACCCTTGAACCCTGCTACCCCGTCACTGTGTCACTGTGTCACCCCAGCACCCTGTCACCCTGTCTTTCCCCCTGCAGGAATGACCCCGTAACCCTGTCGCCCTGTCACCGAGTCACCCCGTCACCGTGTCACCCCATGACCCCATAACCCTGTCACCCCATCACCCCATCACCTCATCACCATGTCATCCCATCACCCTGTCACCGTGTCATCATGTCCGCCCCCTGCGGAAATGACCCAGTGACCATTTCACCCCGTCACCCTATCATCCCATCCCCCTGTCACCCCCCCGGGCACTTGGCGCTCCCCCGTTCCCGTTCCCATTCCCATTCCCATTCCCGCTCCCATTCCCATTCCCATTCCCATCCCCGTTCCCATTCCCATTCCCATCCCCGTTCCCATTCCCATTCCCATTCCCCATTCCCATTCCCATCCCTGTTCCCACTCCCATTCCCGCTCCCATTCCCATTCCCATCCCCATTCCCATTCCCATTCCTTTTTCCCATCCCCATTCCCATTCCCATTCCCATTCCCATTCCCATTCCCATTCCAGGGCTCTCACCACGATTCCATCAGTCATGAACAGAACGAGCGCTCCGGTGATGTGCACAGCGAAATAAGTGAAGGAGGCGCCCTGGAGGTTTCTGCTTTGGCAGCAGCTGAACAAATCCTCGTGCCCTGGGGGGAAAAACCCGATCAGGGCCCTACAGGGGATTTGGGGTTTGGGACAGAGCCCAGCGGGACCCGGAACGGGGGTTCCACCTCAGCTGCACCTTCCCCTCGGCTTCCAGAGGGAAATGGGAACGGTYATGGGGTCAGCCCAAAGCCTGGGGTCCTGATCTCAACAGGATGGGGCTCTGGTTCTTTGGGATACCTTTGGGATGCCCACATCCCAGGATCCCGACCCTTTAGGATATTTTTGGGATGTCCGGAACCTGGGATCCCGACCCTTTAGGATATTTTTGGGATGTCCGGAACCTGGGATCCCGACTTTTTGGGATTCTTTTGGGATGCACAAACCCTTGGGATCCTGGCTGTCCACACCCCAGGATCCCCAAATCTCCACACCCCAGGATCCCAGCTCTTTGGGATACATTTGGGATGTCCAGAACCTGGGATCCCGACTTTTTGGGATTCTTTTGGGATGCACAAACCCTTGGGATCCTGGGTCTCCACACCCCAGGATCCCCACATCTCGAAACCCCAGGATCCTGGCTTTTTTGGGTATTTTTGGGATCTCCAAATCCCAGAATCCTGGCACTCCACAATCCCAGGATCCTGACTCTTTGGGATACTTTTGGATGCACAAACCCTTGGGATCCTGGCTSTCCACAGCCCGGGATCCCCAAATCTCCACACCCCAGGATCCCGGATTTTTGGGACACCTCTGGGATTTGCACATCCCAGAATCCTGGCTCTTTGGGATAATTTTGGGATTTCCACACTCTGGATCCCAGCTCTTAGGGATGATTTTGGGATTCCTACCCTCAGGATTCCGGCTCTTTGAGACACCTTTGGGATTCCCACACTCTGGATCCCGGCTCTTTGGGATTTTCACACTCTCGATCCCGGCTCTTTGGAATAATTTTGGGATTTTCATACCCCAAGATCCCGGCTCTTTGGGATAATTTTGGGATTCCCACCCTGGGATCCCAGGCTCTCACTGTCACTCTCCGTTCTCCCCTTCCCATTTTGGGGCTCCACACTCCCAGCCCCGCCCTTACAAGCGATAAAAACCCAACCCCAGCACCCAAAATCCCTCATCCCTCGATCCCCTGCCCAGCAGAGCTCACATTCCTTGGCTAATCAATTCTGACCCCAAAAAATTTTGGGATAGGGGGACACACACATCACCCCACCTCAACTCCAGGAATTCCCTAAAATCCCCTTTTATGGCCCSGGGGCGCAGTTGACTCTCCAGGAATAACACGGAACACTTCCCGCAGCCCTAAAAACATATTTACCCCTGAGATTCGCTGTTTACCCAAAGYGTTGACTCGGACACGTCCCCGCGGGTGGCAGAGAACAATGTCCCCATTGTCCCCAAGGCAGGGCGCAGCCCGGAGCTCGAGAGAAAACTCTCGCTGGATTTCACTTTTCCCCTCAAACAAGGGGGGGATTTATGATTTTTATTAATTTCCTGCAAAAATCAGCATCTGCAGCACTTATAAATTGGATAATCAACAAGAAAACTGACCCCAAATTCGGGGGGGGATTTATGATTTTTTTATTAATTTCCTGTAAAAATCAGCAACTGCGGCACTTTTAAATTGAATAATCGGTGAGAAAACTGACCCCAAATTCGGGGGGGGATTTATGATTTTTTTATTAATTTCCTGTAAAAATCAGCAACTGCAGCGCTTTTAAATTGGATAATCAGCAAGAAAACTGACCCCAAATTTGGGGGGGATTTATGATTTTTTATTAATTTCCTGTAAAAATCAGCAACTGCAGCACATTTAAATTGAATAATCGGTGAGAAAACTGACCCCAAATTGGGGGGAGGATTTATGATTTTTTATTAATTTCCTGCAAAAATCAGCATCTGCAGCACATTTAAATTGAATAATTGGTGAGAAAACTGACCCCAAATTGGAGGTGATTTATGATTTTTTTATTAATCTCCTGCAAAAATCAGCATCTGCAGCACTTATAAATTGGATAATCAGCAAGAAAACTGATCCCAAATTTGGGGGGGATTTATGATTTTTTATTAATTTCCTGTAAAAATCGGGGTCTGCAGCAGTTTTAAATTGAATGATCGGTGAGAAAGCTGACCCCAAATTGGGGGAGGATTTATGATTTTTTTATTAATTTTCTGCAAAAATCAGCATCTGCAGCACTTTTAAACTGAATAATCGGTGAGAAACCAGACCCTAAATTGAGACAGCAAATTTATGATTTCTTATTCCTTTTCTATAAAAATCAGTGTCTGCAGTACTTTTAAACTGAATAATCAGCAAGAAAACTGACCAGAAACCAGGGGAAGGAATTTGTGATTTCTTACTCATTTTTGATAAAAATCAGTTCTGCACCACTTTTAAATTGAATAATCGGTGAGAAAACTGACCCCAAACCAGGAAGGGAAATTTGTGATTCCTTATTCCTTTCCTATAAAAAAATCAGTGTCTGCACCACTTTTAAACAGAATAATCAGTGAGAAACTGGACCCCAAACTAAGAGGGGAAATTTGTGATTTCTTACTCCTTTCCCATAAAATAATCAGTGTCTGCACCACTTTTAAACTGAATAATCGAAGAGAAAACTGACCCTAAACCGGGAGGGGAAATTTGTGATTCTTTCCTATAAAAAATCAGTGTCTGCAGCACTTTTAAATGGAATAATCGGTGAGAAACCAGACCCCAAATTAAGAGGGGAAATTTGTGATTCCTTATTTCTTTCCTATAAAAAAAAAAAAAATCAGTTCTGCACCACTTTTAAACTGAATAATCGTCAAGAAAATTGACCCCAAATTAAAAGAGGAAATTTGTGATTTCTTATTCCTTTCCTATAAAAAAAAAATTCAGTGTCTGCAGCACTTTTAAACTGAATAATCGGTGAGAAACCAGACCCTAAATTAAGAGGGGAAATTTGTGATTCCTTATTTCTTTCCTATAAAAAAAAATCAGTTCTGCACCACTTTTAAACTGAATAATCGAAGAGAACACTGACCCCAAACCTGGAGGGAAGGAAGGGGCACAACTGCCACGTGTCCCTAAAAGGTTTGTAGGGCCCAGGGCTGGCTTTAGGGTGGCTCGGGGGAATATGGAACGGCCTGGAGATCTCATTGGGATTGGGATGCTGAGCTGTGTCCAAGATTCCATCCAATCTGAGGACAATCGGACCCCAAATGCGTTATTTGGGTACTCCTGGATTCGATCCCTCAGGCAGCAGCRCTGGGGGCTTTCACTACACCCAGACTCACTCAAATATGGCTTTTTCTCCCCAAAACCCATAAAAGAGGTGTCTCCAGCTCACCTGCGGCTGTGTGGGGTCTCTGCCCGGYTGTGGACAGCTCGTCCTTGTCCCCGGGTCGCGTCTCCAGGGCCAGCTCGTCTGCGGGCAGCAAAGGGTGGCTGCTGCCGTTCAAACAGGGCACCATGCGCTCCTTGTAGAGCAGGAAAAACACGGCGATGGGCACGGGCAGCTGTGGGGGCACAGAGGAGCGGTGAGACCC